TTTGCTCAAATAGGCAAAGGTTGAATCTTGCTGTTGATGAGGAGTTGGCAGTTGGCAATGCAGCAGCGGGGGAAGCCCTTTGTAAAGTTGGTCGTACTTAGCTGATGTGCTGTGTTGGACTGGTGGTAGAATAATAAGGGTGAAGGTCCTGGGGCAGGAGAGTCCTTGTGGCCCTGTGGGGGACCTGGAGGAGCTGTGATGAGGGCCAGAGAGGACAGGCTGAGGGACAGACCTGACAGAGGCCAAGGCTTCTCTTCCAAAACCCAATCCCCACGCCCCGGGCTCCAGCCAAACAGCCAGGCAGGTGTCCAGCTGATCTCACTCTGCCACTAGGGACACACTGCAGTGACACCCGCTGAAGCTGCACAAGTGTCATGTCCACACTGAAGATGCTCACCAATTTTCTGCCTGTCTGGTGCAGAGCTGGGGCTCGGCCAGTGGGAAAATGGACCCAGTGTATACAAATATATGAGAGTCATTGGCTTTGCAACATGTTCAGAAGTGGTGATCTTGACCTGATCATCTGACTGTGATAACTGTAATGTTGATTTAGAGCAGGGGTTCTTAACCTTTTTGACACTAAGGCCCAATTTTTCCAGTGCAGAGGGGCCCGGGTCCCATTAAATAATAACATTGTATAGGAACTAAAATTTGAGGAGGTCCAGTTAGAGAAAATCTGCTCAAGCAGAGGTCCAGGACATCATAATGTCTAACTTGTGTTATGATTGTGACACAGAAGTAGCCTACATTTATCAGTGTCTGAATGTATAAACAATAGACGAATCAACAAAAATACAAATTAAAAAAATTTCAACAAAATCTATTGTTAACACTGAAACACACTGTAGGCCTACATTAGGTACGGGGTTGCAGATTAAAATTAATTACAGAAAATAAATGAAATGGCTAAATTGTGCAACTTAAAACAAAGTGCTTAATTTCAGGGGGAAAAAAAATAGCAGCTTGAGTTTCCCTTTTTCTTTAGCTATCACATCTCGACTTAACAGTCTTAATACATTTTTCAACAGATTCTCAATACCTCTATTCTCTGTGTTTGTGTTCAGAGCTGTGATCGATTGAATGCACAGATTTGAATGGCTCAGCAGCGTCACGACTGGTTTGTATGTTCCTTGGTCTAAACTGAATAGGCCCTATTCAATTGATTCAACTTATAAAATGAACTGCATTTAATCTAGTGTGAGAAATGCTGCAGTCAGAATAGATTCACACCAGAGTCCTGACCCAGCGGGAGCAGCTCTGGTTCAGGCCGGGCTCAGATGAATTTGAGCGGGGAGTGGTGTGCTGAGGACGGACCGCGCTCAGAACAACATATAACGAACCAAACTGGATTCATGCTTCTGTCCGGATGCTTTGCATCACCTTGGAACCAAGCACAGTCGGCGGCACAGAGGACAGAAGCAGCACGCCCAGACCGGTAGTCCACAGTGCATTCTCACTTTCCCAGCACGGAACCAGCATGCAAAGGACGGCATGGAACTGCTCAGACCCAATCCACTGCGTTCTGGTCTTGCTCGTCCCCGTCTGGAACCAGCACATGGAGGACAGAGCCTCTGGACCTACCTGACCAATGCGCTCAGAGGACGGCACAAGACCAAGGATCGAACCCCCAATCCCATCCTGAGGGGCTGCGCGCGACGGCGATTGCTCCTTGTGTCTTTATCACTGTTAATTGAACTCAGAGCTTCTGCTCCGGCCTGATGTGCGGTGAGTTGCGTACTTAGTTCTACATGCTGGTTTTTTGTGAGTTCATGGTGATAACTTGAGATGAGGACAGCTCACGGTGTCGATACATTTCATAATTAAAGGTACCTCTGTTCTCATGGGTAAAAGAAGTACAGAGTACATCGGGCTGACCCTGTCCGGGTCTATGAGATGGCGTCTGGGTCCGGACTCGGAACGCGGTCTGCCAGTTAGCAATCCTGACATAATCTCGCGGCCCAGTGGTGCAAAACTGAAAGGTTTTTAGGTCAAGTTTGGGCCACAGCTCTATGGTTAAGAATCACAGATTTAGAGTATACCTGCATCTTTTTCATATTATATACTTTTTGAAATTGCAAATCATTTAACATTTAAGCAATTTGGAAGTTAATCTTTAAAACTACTTTAAAGACCTGAGAGTGCCTATTCTATCCTTATCACTTGCTGCTCACCTGGTCTGCTTTGCGTCTTCCCAGCAACCACCCAGTTCACATCAATCGGTTTACCCACTCAAAATATTATCGCATTTTTGGAGAGCAGGTCCTGAGCCAATTGAGAAAGTGCTTACATACTACTTGCCTAAACGGTCTGAAACATGTATTATTCCACGTCACACTGAGAATAGGTGGAGAGGGAAAGAAGAGGAGAGGAATCCATTTGGTAAAGTAGATGCAGATCGATGGGACTGGAGGCAGGCAGGCCAGAGAGCAGTAGAGGCCTCAGTACGTGTGTGTGTGTGTGTGTGCATGTGTGCGTGTGTGTGAGAGACCAGATTATTTTTCCAATTGATCCAACCCAGCATCCATCTGACCTACAGGACGTTCTAAGTCATGGAAGATGCCAGTGGAAGTAAAGAGATGGAGATGGAAAGAATAACAAAAAGGAGAGGGAGAAAAATAGAAATCAGTAGAGCAGAAAGTTTCATAGGAAAATCTAGTTGGTTCAAAAACGAGATTATAGATATCGTCAGGACAGGTCTAAGTCTAAATTCACTTTTGGAGAGATATCGCCTTTAGTGTCAAAATGATGATGTAAATCTGAAAAACTTGACAACTTGAAAGCATTGTTAAGTATAACGTACAGTGTATAATGTACATTGTTGTGTAATGATTGCATTTAAAGTATATGATTGCATTGTATTGTCCTATAGCCTCTAAGGTACTCCTTACCACTTGTGTCTAGATAGTGCTGCTATCTAGATTATGCTACAATGTGATGCTTGCACTGTATTTGTCCCTATAAATACATATTATAATACAAATGTACTGTTGCTCGTCATGTAAAATGTGGGGACCTACATCGATCACAAAACTGAATGAATAATTTAAATATTTAATTGAAGTGAAAAAGTAATTTGCTTTGGTCCACGTTAATAAAACATAATTTAAATTAAACTCACTGTAGAGAAAGACAGTAGAAATGCTCAAAAATCACTAAGAGAGGACTGTCTAAAGAATAGATAATATATAATATATACAGACAGGCTTTACAGTACAAGTTGTATTTTGAGGAGTGATAGAAGTAAAACAAATACATTGTGTACGTTTAACCTTCTTGCTTGAGGCAGCACACTGTACAAACCAGACAGCTCCAACCAGGAGCCTGAGGAGACAGGAAGCACTTTTGAGCCATCAAATATTAATGGCCTTATAGAGTGTATTGATTATATAATAACTTTTCCCAGCATCAGAGCTCTGACTGAAATGTATTCCCTGAATAATTGAAACAGTATCCATGAGCGCTTTCTCATCTCAGTGCTGCCTGAATGTAATAACGGTGCATCTTTTTCAATGTTTTTTTTTTTAGACTTTATCTGATAATGTGAGTTCATGTGAAGAATGCTCTAATGAAGGACATGTAACCTCTGTGTGTGTTTTCATGTGTGTGCATACATGTGTGTGCATGTATTCTTGTGTGTGCATGCGTGTGTGCGCGCGCACGTGCGTGTGTGCATGTGTGGTCGTTAGAATGGTTGAGTATTAACCTATGACATGGATATTGTTTTACAGATTATAATTTGACACATGTATGTTACTGCGGCTGAATTAACACTTCATACACATCTGCTTGTGCTTCTGTCACCACATTTGAACCACACTGTCTGCGCTCCCTTCAATATAGTAATGATATAGTATGTGTAATTATGAAAAGAGGTGGAAATGCTTTTGATGATTCACCTCAGCCTAACTCTTCCTTTTCAGGGCAATTGACCGTCTCCTACCTTCAAAATAACATAACTTTGTTTTAGCTGATCCATATAAATGTGTATTATATAGATCGAGGACACAAAGAAATTTGATAATTAAATAACACTTACCTATTCGTCTAACATGAGTGACATAGGAGATTTGTGTAAGTTACCTGAACATCATCAGCAACTGCAGCATCTAACTTTGTGTCTGCCCAGTCTCCATAGTTTACAGTTTGAAAAGCTCCTGAAATATAGCACATTTTTTATATATTTTTATTGTTTTCCCTATAAAAATCTGATAAAAATTGAATAAGAATGCTAGCTTGTATTAAACTATAGCCCCTCTACCAGAAGGCAATGTTCTAATTCACTCAACTTCTTCATATGAGACAGAAACTCTATTTTGTCTGTAAGGCGGACCACCCTTCATCTGTATCTTCTTTTCCTCTCCTCCCTGACAGAACACTCTCATTTAGCCCTACATTATGCATTCGCTCCTAAGTTTACACGACACATTGACAACAGAACATGTACAGGCGCCCTCCCCTCCCTGTCTCTCTGCGAGCTATCGAGAGTGTCTTCCCTATTACTCAGGCCTTGCTTTTTCCACCTCCTCTCTTCCTCCCATCAGATCCGTCTCACTGTCTCTCTGGAGGAGTAAATGAAGGCAGAGGTCAGCTCTCCTCTTTCCCCCCTCTCCTACTAAATTGGCTGCTTGTAGCTTCCATAGATAGCTGCGGGCTGGAGAGCTAGTGAACAGGCTTTCTGCTCATTTGTGGCCTTCTATTTCTTCAACTACGGGCTTGTTTACCCACCGCGAGCAAGAGGGAAGCCCTTATTAGAAGCTCTGCCAAGGTCGCTGCAGTAGTCACACAGAGATCACACTTTTCACTCTCATTCTATAGCTCTATCTGGGCTATTAGCTTCCATGACTTGTTCCACCTGTGTTTTAGTCTGAAGAGTATAAATGATCAGAGCTTCACCCCCCCCCTCCTCCTGCCCCCCGATACCCTCCCTACCGTAACAGTATAACAGTCTAACCTAACCCTGTGCAGTGGTGTGTGATGCTGATGGCGACTGTGCTCCATAGGGCTCGACAGAGACACAGTGGCGTCAGGCAGAGCTCCCGCAGCTCCAGGGCTGGGCAGAGAAAGGATTGCTGACACAGCCAAAGATGGTAAGGAGACTGTTACTGCCAAAACCAACACAACCAATAAGTACAAAGTCATGTGATCTCATATTGCATTGTTTTCACTGGGGATGCTGCTGCTGCTGCTACTGGAGGAGACAGTAATGGAGGTGGACATATAGGTGTGGACAGGAGGAGATTTAGTAAAGAATTACTTTAACTTTTTTAGTAAATGCATCACTTAAAACTGCTGACATTGTCTACTTACATAATAAAGACAAAACAATGTTAGTGCTTCAATGCTTCCTTTAACCTAGTTCTTTGTTTTTGAGAATTGTACTAGAATTGTAATTTTGAAATACTGCAATTATTAATATTTGCACACATTTTTCTATATTTTTTCAGCTCAGTTTTACACTTAATAATATATACTGCTTAAGCAACTATCCAACACTAGGGTTATATTCCAAAAACGTTATAACAAAATGTAATGTTCATACAACTGATAAATGACATTATGTTTACCAGTAGTGATATCAAGGAGTGAACTAAAGGTTCAGGGCAGAATAAAGGGATAGTTTGGACATTACCGGACACATGCTCACACATAAAGCCTCTAGTAAGGTAAACTGCCTGAGCTACATGCTCTGAGCTGCAGTCGCACTGTAGTGGATAAAATGAAGTGCAGCAGAAGAGGCGGTTGTATCCAGTCAGCAGGAGCTGCACTGAGCTGTGTCCACAGCACTGGGCTCCACAGTGGGGGAGCAGGACAGCTCGAGTGTGCACTACCCTCGTGAAGTGGACTGCTGAGAAGCACAAATGCTGTTGGGCAGGGACAAGGAGAGGAAGATAATTGGCCGCTGGGACTCGGCAGGTCCCTGTTAATTAGAGGCAGCCATTTTGGTGTAAAAACTCCACTGAAAATGTCCCATGGAGTTGAAAGTCGCTCTGACAGAATGGAGCTCAGCAGGGAATGTAAACAGATTTAATAAGGCTCTTTCCAATCAAGTCTGTTAGCGCTAGATACTGTGTGCTTCAGAGTCGCAGTTGTGCAGTGGTGACCAAGCAGGTTGGATACTGTCTGAAGAAGTATTTGCATGCAGCTCTCATCTGGAGAGCTTTTAGACATCTGCATGTTTGTTTTCTCTCACAACCGTGCACCATTGTTGGCCTGTGCTAAAGTGTGTGCTTGTCCACATTAAAAGCGTGTGCAGAACTGTGTGTAAATGAGAAGATAGAGAGAGATGCAGCGCAGACATGCTGATCTTTCTGCTCCTATGAAAAAGAGAGGAGCAGAAAAGAGAATAAGAAGCACTACCACCTTATTTAGAACTGGAAAGCAGGACAAAGGCTGGTGCCTACACATGCGAACACTCAGCTACACTATTAAGAATATTAAAAACATTGTGCTTTTCACCATCTTTTACTGTAGGTATTTTACAGTAGTTGTATTAGACTTACTAGAATTGCTTTGTAAACAGGTCTCTGTAGAGCTTTTACAGTATGCAGATGTTTTTTATAAGTGAAAGTTAGTTTTAGTGACAGACAAAATAAGATAACATAGTATGTGTATGAATGTGCTGCTTGTACTTAGTCGTGCCTCTTGTAGAGTGCAGTGAGTTGGGATGTGTGCACATTTGTTAAAAATAGACACAGCTGAATGGCTGAACAGGGAAAAGGCAGAGACCTGACTAATGACTTTAAATTTTTGATTGGAGTGGATTAAAGAATATTTGCACGTCAGTTAGGGTTTCACATGAAGTCATGGTTTGGATTACAGCTTGAATAATTACTAATCTAGTTATGTGACTGTTTTTTTTTTCTAATTATGAGTTGAATTGATTGATTGGATAGTACATAGGGTCTCTATTTCTCCATATGGTTTTACATCAGTCATGTGAGAGCTTGGGACGCAAAGTGTAAAAAGTACACGATGCAGAGTTCTAAACAGGATCTCGCTGTCCCATCTGAGGTCCTGTTTATGCTCAAGGACCACTTTCTCTCTCTCTCTCTCTCTCTCTCTCTCTCTCTCTCTCTCTCTCTCTCTCTCTCTCTCTCTCTCTCTCTCTCTCTCTCTCTCTCTCTCTCTCTCTCTCTCTCTCTCTCTCTCTCTCTCTCTCTCTCTCTCTCTCTCTCTCTCTCTCTCTCTCTCTCTCTCTCTCTCTCTCTCTCTCTCTCTCTCTCTCTCTCTCTCTCTCTCTCTCTCTTTACTACTATTTTACTACTATACTAACTAATGTATTGTAACACATTATGGCCTTTGTTTATAGAATAGTTGATGTGTAAAAGTTATGGAATTAATGCTATGGAGGCTGCATCTGCTGTCCGAATGTAAAATAATAACTTATAAACCAGAACTAGGAAAATCTATTGCCAAGGGTTTTGGTAAAAATTTGTAAAATGTGTAGTCTGACCTGTCATATACGTTTTAAGATTGCACTGCAATACAGAAAGGTATTTTATTTTTTACTTTATTTGTAGTTTTCAGTAGTTTTCTAATAGTATAGGATATGTAGCTAAGGAACAAGAAAACAGAACAAAACAAACATTATATTAAATACCAGGTTGATCAGTTATCATGAAATAGGTATTCGATTTATCCCAGAGGGTGTCACACGCAGAAGGGTGTGTGGCCTGTGTTTTATATGTTTTTTATTATTTATTCTTAGCACATCATGTTCCTCAATAACAAATATACATGTTTTCTCCAGCATACTACGTCAAAACAAATCCATTCATTTTTATCAAGGTTTTATGCAAAATATTGCACTTTCCTGTTTTTATTCGAACAAAGAACAAGATTCTCAAATATGTGCATATCAGCAGAGTGCTCAGAAAATCAAAGTGCAACCTGCTCCCCTCCTCCATGATGTATTTTCTCACTTTTATCTCAAAAATGTTTTATTCTCTGAGATGTTTTGCATACCAAGTGTCTCTGTGTCACAGCAGCAGCATCAGCAGCAGTTGCCAGCTGAAACGCTGCCCACCACAGTTACTGACCTCTCCTTCTGACATTAGCAGCCATTAGCCATTAGACTAGATTACTCTCTTAATGTCCTCATAAATATTTAGCTGTTTGTCCCTCTTGTGTCAAGTGATTGGTCTATTATTTACTGCATGCTCATTGTGTTCAGTTTGTGATCCCATGATATGAATAAATGTCAAAAACAAAAATCAAACTTTCTGAAATAATGATTTTTTTTTGTTTTCATAATATAGCAGCATATTATGGTAAAAAAATGCATTTTTAAAGTAGTTTATTTTGTGCTTCAGATCATCAGTAACATGGAGGCTCCAGTAACAAACGGCCCGAGTGGAGGAGGTAACACGGCCAACGGTCCGACCTCCAACAGCCGCGGCTGCCCCTCGCCCATGCAGACTGGCTCCTCTAATGACGACAGCAAGACCAACCTCATTGTCAACTACCTGCCCCAGAACATGACCCAAGAGGAGTTCCGCAGCCTCTTTGGATCCATCGGAGAGATTGAATCCTGCAAGCTAGTCCGCGACAAGATCACAGGTAAGAAGAAGGACTAACATCGCTCCAAAAGCTTGCCAAATCAAATGAATTATTTACAAGAATTCTTTCTCTAAGGTAGAGGCCCAAGTTCCCTGGAACATTTAGTCTCACTTGTTTTACATTCATGAAAAAATTTCCCAGAATGTGCAACATGGCATTTTATATAATCCCTAGAAGTATCCCAAGTGCTAGAAGTCAGCAAAGTGCACCCTGTTCTCTAGAGGTGTTTAAATTAAGCAGCACTTGGCTGCGCTAATCATGGCTGTAGCCTGGGTGTAGTGGTGTTGTGTGGGTGGCCATACAGCAGATGGATGGGAGGGGGGGCAACTCTGTGATAATGCTCCATAATGGCTTTCATTTTAGATCCTACTTACTGACACTCTTCTCCAGATAATCTCATTAAAGAGCAGCGGGCAGGCAGAGGCAGCTGAGAGCACCAAGCTTTTCTCACACGGCACAAGAGTAAACAAACACATGCTGCACATAGGAGAGCTAATGTAATGCTGTTTACACAGCATCAGAAATATCAACCAAAAGTGCTTCAACACCCAGGCTCATAGTCACCAACTGTGGCCACAGCTCCAGTTACATTACACTGCAAAGAACAAACATGTAGTATGGTACATGTAGTATGGTCCAAATTCAAATTAAAACCAGAATATTAGTCAGGAATAAACTATGGTTAGTTTTGTAATGCTAATGTATGAAATTGAATATTTTATTTGCTTTAAATTTTTACTCGTTGCAAAAAAATATAGACAGATAAGACAGTCATTTCTTTCACTAATCTGTTAGCTGTTCTCATAGTGGAGTTGGTTGCATGGTTATTTTGGGGGTCCTAGTATGAAAAGTTTAGGAACTCCTAATATAATTTTTGTAGTCATCTTTTACTCTGTGTGCAGACAGTGTAAAATATTAGCCTTGTAGGGCTGCAATGATTATTAATAATTGTAATTATTAAATTGTTTATTATTTAATCTTTAAGATTGAAAACTATGCAGCGGAGGAGTGAAATTAACAGTTTAGGCGGTGGCATTTGGATTCTCTGTTCTGTTCTATACAGTCTCTTAGATGAGGTGTGTTACAGTGCAAAAGGTTGTTAATATAAATATAAACAAAAGTCATTTATCACTTTGCTGCTGTGGAGTTTACCCATTTGGCTGTCCCATGGGTGCAATTTCCCTGCGAAACTAATTGGTTCACAAGGGAATGTCAAGAACACCCATACCTTCCAAAATACTCTCATTTAAACCTAGAGTACAGAAGATAAGTTAAAGTAAACACAATACAAATAGTAATTTGACTTTAAAGTAAAACCCAAACATATTTGAAGCAGAGACAGTACTTTGTATTGTCTTTGCATCTCATCGTCATTGCGTTGACTAACCAGAGTATACTGACTGACAGGTGTGAGCCCCTACCCCTCTCTATGGAAGGAGACAGACAGGTCCGGAGTCTCGTCTGAGCTTCCACTTCCTGCTCCTGTCAGCTCCAATGACGCCGTGAAGGTGAAGCGGGTGCATGCAGTCTGTCACCCAGTCTGACTTCAGCCACCTCTGGGTGTCTTCTCTGCCCCACAAGCAGAGCCTTCCTTCCTCCTGCTGTTGCACAACTAAATGTAGCTCTGCTCTCATAACACACTGGGGACACACAGGTTAATCTTTTATTGAAGACTCTCTCACACGCAACTAGACGCTGCCCACACACTTTTGCATAAGCCCTGGGCCTTCACCTGCGAATGCTTCTGTCAGTCCCTGCTTTCGCTTGCACAGATATCATCAGAGTTTTGTTGTTGGAATTAAGTGCCTATAGTGTAGGTGTCTTTACATCCAGCCTGCTCTATTCCAGGCACAGTAAGCAGGACGAGTTCTCAAGGACATCAGCGCTTTGTGACTGTATATGCTGCAAATAGATCCTTTTACATCAATTTGTTTAGTCAAGCATCTACTGAACACACACACGCTACACTGCACAAAAGCTATCATAGTTTAGTTATGCACAAATACTATTAAAAAAGGCATAGATAAGCTATGTATAAATAGAAATGTATTGAATGGTCATGGTTATTTTTTTGGGTTCATGTTTTTAGCATAAGCTGCATTTAATCAGGAGATATGAAGCCATTTGTTTTTCCTATGAAAAAGAGGTAATGCAAAAAGATTTTTGTAAGGTTTGTAATGGTAAAGTAACACAAATTTATTGTGGTGGGCTGTGAATTTCTTTTTACTGGAAGCCTGCTCTTTGCATTTTCAGGTGGGTTCATTGAAAGATGATTTAGATGCTGTGGCATGAAAATATTTTCCTGCTTGTTTAAGTAAGAATGTTCCCCACACACATTTAAGCAGCTTTTTTCTGTTGTTCACAAATTATTAAATTTAAAAGCATAAAAGTGACCTTTATGACAGAGTAGTCATATTGACACAGGCATTTGTATGGACAGCTCATGTCACTTCTGTGTGTTCAGTTGGTTCATGCAATCTGGGAGAGCCATGCAAATCATAGTGACAAGGTAGCAAGCCAAGCAGATGTGGTCTATAAAAAATAGATGGAGCATGATGTCAGGCTTGGAGTGGTTTTGCCTCGACAGGAGCTTGTGTACCATATAAATGTCCTATGTGAGTTTCCGTATTTCATAAGGACAACTTTACACCTCACTCGTACATTACGTCTTCTCCACTTTGGGCCTAAAAGCCTGGGCTTCTGCAGCATGTACGTGCCATTAAGGTCATTGTTGTGCTTGGGCTGGTTGGGAACATCGAGTGAACCCACAAGCCCCACATACATCAAATATGCATCTAACCCTGAGTTGCAAGGACAAGTGGGCGGGGCCTTGTTTTCTATATAGTTCAGTCAGTAATAAACTATGCTTCACCATCCTTTAAGATGTCAATAACTGGAAATATTCTTAAATTACCAAAACTCCAAATTGAAGTTTATTTCTTCCAGTCTGTTTTGAAATCCATCTGGTTAATCAACTCATAAAATCCTTGGTTTATTACTGACTGCTGCTAAAATGTATTTTTTGACAACACCAAAAAAGAATAGTTTGTTTAGTGAAGCATTTTCACACCCCACTAAAGGTTTGCACAAAAGTGTACCTGAAAGAAAAAAAAGCTTTTACCTAGCTTTCATCTTTAATCACTGTGAGTCTGGTGCATTTTGTTCCTAACATTTATGTGAACCTGAATTGAACTGAAGGCAACACAGCACGTGAACAAAGCTGACAGAGGTGGAGATGGAAAAAGGATTTGACATATGCAGTGCCAGGTATTAGGAGAGCTGCCAGCCTCAGAAGTGCACACATAGATGGGCATACATTAAAGTTTCAATGTCCCAGGTCTCAAATGTCCTGACACACTACATGGCCCAAGATGTCCACAGAGATTTCTACCCCGAATGACCTCTCCTTAGATTCTTCTTGCCATTCCACAGTGAATGCCCTTTACACAGAGCGCAGAGGCTGTGACCGTCCCAAATGATGGGGGCCATACCTCCGAAGGCAGTGTATGCCTCCGGGCCCGCACCCGCCCTCTGACCTACTGTTCTTAAGGGTGTACCTGAGCCCAAGCAGCCGAATGAGGCAGGGAGCAGAAACTTGTCTTTGTGTAGCCAACAGGACTTCAAACTGATGGAGCAATGGGGCGGATTTTTTTCAATAGTATGGACTCTTCCAGTGATCTTTACCATGATATGTGATGGATTTATAGATGTTTTAATATAACTGTTTGTCCTGTTATTGCTTATTGATTTTAGTTAATCCCCATTTAACCATACTTTTAGTTTCTAATGCTGTTTGATTGTATTTGGGTTTAGGTTGCCAAAACAATACTGTCTATTATATAAATCATTAACATTAACACACCACTAAACATCTCTATTAGAAATAAATATACAACACATAGTAATTATGTTTTGGTAATATTCAGTGTTGTATGTTATATTATGCTCTTAGCTCCTGGTCTATTTTCTCCGCTGCACCAGACAAGGGGGGCAGCCCACACAGTAGGCCGCAGTCCACTGGCCTGAAGGCCCAGCAGCCACCATCATGAGGGGGTGTTTCCATACATGAGGATGTGCACTTGTCCCTGGGCTTATGTGGGCTACTGTGTGAGTATTAGATGAAGCAGGCCTTGGGAACAGAGAGTGGGAGCCTCCAGAGTGCAACTGTGGCTGCTACCTTGGCAACACAGGACAGAGATGATCTGAATGAGTGAGTGGGAGAGGGAGCTGCACTGGATGCATGTGTTTATGAATTTTGTTATTTGGGCAAACACATAATGCACATTGACTGTACTCCCAGTGCTTGTGGAAGAGTGTTCTTGCCATGTTATAACATTTTTGACTCTCTGTGTGGTCTAAGTGACGTGTATTGTGACATGAAGCCAGTAGGGCACCTTTCTAAATGTTGGCCCATCAAAAATAGAACTACCTGAAGTCAGTGCAGCAGCAGTAGCAGCAAGGGGCAGAATGAGAACAGCACAAGAGCACACATACACTATGTCACATTTATTTTGACAAATTGAAATATTTTCCCTAGCCATTTCCTATTCTTAAAATGTCACTAAATTTAAGTCGGACCAACAGGTTTGCCAGTTTTTCTCGGAAACAGGAGAGGTACGTTGGAAGTGTCACTGACTCATAGCTCTGAATATCCTCTTCTCATGCACCCAAGTTCTCACATTTTCCTACAGAAACTAGACAGTAAAGGTTTCCTACAAACTGATGAAGTAGTTATTGTAAAGCAATCATATTAATGAACATAATATAATGGTGTAAATGTGCTGAAGTCTTGCTCTAGGGCACATTAGTAGGAGAAGAAATCTGTCCAAGTTAGTCACAAACGATTCTGATCTCATGAGAATGTGCGGGTACTTTTGTTCTGTTTGTTTGAAACGTATTTCACAATGATGTTATAGTAATACAGTCCTAATGGGATTTTCAAATACACACAATCAATGTAAACAACAAAAGTCAGGTCAATGTGTTTTTGCTACCTGTGAGATCAAAGTACCTATCTGTGCTTTGCCTGATAAAAGAACAAGGGGCTTTCATGTCTCTAGTGCAGGTCTCTTTGTACAATCATTCACTATAATGACGTACATACTGTGGCCATATGGGCTTTTCACAGCACACAAAGCATATACACTAAATAACAATAGTTAGCAATATACTGTAAAATCTTGTACTGTTTAGATATGAATGACGTAGAGTGGAAGCAGCAGGCAGGACCCCCTCATGACGTAGGCTCTCCTCACACAGTGGGCAATCCGCTGCTCCATAGGAAACAAACAGTGGCTTAGTCATAACACCTCACATGCCAAAAACAAGGCTAGTGCGAACCACGCACTAGGAATAGCAACAATATGTTCTCAAACAACAGACTCAGACTTCAAGACATAGAAATGAATTTAAATGATTATGAGCTTTTGCTTTCTTCACAGGAGACATTTATTTCTAAACTAGATATCCTTTCTTGACTCAATCCGTCCATCTTTGGGACAAGCACTAAAACTACACAGGCTAGTGACCCCCCATCGCTTTAGATATTCAACAGAACAAAACGCTACATCTTTTGATATTTGCGGAGCACACTTTTCCTACAATTCCCAAACGGGCCATTTCTCGCAGAAGGCCTATTATTTTATTAAGTCTATCTTCAAAGCGTCTTGGTGCAGTTATGAATGCTGTGTGAACACTGTCTCTACAAGCTGCCAAAGGATTCAAAGGCAAATGAATATCTAACCTCATTAAAAGATCATTATGGAGAGCAATGCATCATTTAAGTTCTCGGTTTTAATTGTCATTATATATATGTAAGTTAATGTATCCATTAGGCTAATTGATCAGCACAAGGATAGTTTTCTGTCAGCTACAACCTCATTAGACTCTATTTATCATTTGTTTTAATGGCTCTTGTGTTGACCCAGATGCTGTATTGTGTGTTTTTTTCTTTCTTTTAGCAGCCTTGTAAATAGCTAATCATATCTTTAAACCTATTTTCAGCACTGTATCCCAAATTAATCTATAAAAACACACTTAAGCTTTAAAAAAGACCAAACCATTAAGTTTGTGTATTTAAATATTTTCATGGTTTTAAGTGTTTAAACAACACATTTTTATTTCTCACAATTTTAGTAACATAGTGTATCAATTTTCTTCAGTTTTCAGTGCATTTTTTATAGAACCTCCTACATAATAACACAGTGAATACAGCACTGCCACCTCTGTAAGCTCCACTTTTACTCCTGTTTTTGTTTGTGTGTGGTTCAGTGATTGAGTTATTGCATGTTTACCGTGCCTGTGTTTGCATCTGGCAGTATGGTGCGTTGGCGTGGTATACAGCATGTGAATGGGAGGAGGTAGGACAGGTTCCCGGTGACTCCCCACAGTGTTTGGCTCAATGGTATGCTGGAAGAGGTGGGAGGAAAGGCCCACGTGGAGCTCCCCTGATGCTGAAGGCAGATGTCTCACCTAGGGACCAATGCCAAGATCTCAGTCTAGTCCTCAATCATCAAACCCTGTAGACGCTAGGCCCTGCCAAAAGGAGTCAATACAAGGCTGCTAGCCAAAGGGAAAGCTAATAATTGTGGATACTGTTGTCTACTGAGCCTATACAGACACATTACATTGTGCGGTTTGTCTTCTTTAAAGGTGTATTACGTAACATTATTGTTGTAGGCCACCTGCTTTTCTACATGGAGATGTTACTGCTTTGCATGGAATATTCCTCACTATAGCATTAAACTTCAATGGACAAAAGCAGGTGGAACTATGCCAAGCCAACTTACAGGTCAGATTTGTGGAAAGGCGTCCCCATTCACAGAAGATTACATTTTTTGAACAATATAAACATTTGTAATTAAATGAGTGATGTATGGTTAATGTCATACTGTGGAATGTTCCAGGCAAAGCAATAACATCTCTAAGGAGACAAGCAGATGGTAAACCCTACAGTAGAAAAGTTGAATAGTGCTCCTTAAATTTTTCTTCCATACACATCAAATTACAATGTATGTTTTTATTGTAATTTTATTGTAGGATTTGCATCAAATGCTTTTTTTGGACACCGTGGCCTTCCTTGATTGGAATTAGCATGCCAAGCATCTCTTTACATCTGAATACACTACTAAAATCAAGTCACATTTCCACTATATTCAAATGTGCTGGTGTGAGCGTTGTACATAAACACATCATTTACATTTACGGCCATAAGTGCCCTGAAATACATTATGTTGAGGTTGTAGTTCAGTGCTGACTCATGTTTTTATGCCCGCTCGAGTGGCACCCACACATGCACATAGACATTTACAGCAGATAATCGACCTGCTCTGGGGACGCCTTCTCTGTCAGACACTGCTGCCTTTGGCCCTATTTGGCCCAGAATGCTAATGTCGCTGCAGCATTAACATAAGCCAGTCCATACAGAGATCAGCGATTCCCTTAACTCATTGCTTACAGCTAACCTTCTGTGTCTTTATTGCATAGTCCAGTTTGGAAATTTAGACATAATGGTAATAAAAGTTAAAATTTGAACATTTAAAACAGCACTCATGGTCATTCAATGTAATCCTTTTCAAAGTGTCCTTGAATGTCAAAATGCAGTGATAAATTATAAGGAATGTCTTAACATCTACTTTTAATACATAAGCCTAGGGTTTTTTTTTGTGTTTTTTTTTAACAAACAATGTCCATTCAGCATCAAACCCTAATAAAACCACATAAGTGAGTATTACTATATATATATATATATATATATATATATATATATATATATATATAATAATAGCTTGTTAATTTCGGTCTTTTGTCCAGTTGACAGAATTCAGCTGGGGCCCTACCTGGACAACTGAGGGATTAAACACAGACATTGTCAGTGATAATTCTATAAAATCTATAAATGATGATTGTAGGTTTTTACTGTATTAGAATATGGTTTCAGCTCACTGTTTTAAATATGTCATTGTACTCATCTGAACATTGTCTCCAAGTGCCTTTGCTCTGTTGTGGTCTTCACTTTTCCTTAACTCCTGACAACAAGAAACATTCTGAAAAGTGTGTGTTGTTATATTTAAACGTCCTGACTTACCCCCTGGTGTCAAAGTGGAGTTAGAGGAGAAGAGCAGTAAAGAACAAAGACGGGTAGTTAAAAATAGCAGTCTTCTCTGCAACGTCAGGTTTTTAATTAACAATAGGAAGTGCCTGATAATCCAGGGTAAATCCAGAGTGCATCAGCTGTTTGAAGTTAGGGCTACGACTCCCACTGGTACTGTCTGTGTGGTCTGAAATCCTACATTTCCTTTTTCCCTAAAAGTGTGATTCATAACTCGTGATTCACTTTGTGTCTGACTTACGGCTGTCGGGTTGTATTAGAGTGAACATATATCTAATTGTGATTTCTCTGACAGAATTTGTGATTTATGTTTTGTAAGAGGATTCTATTCAAGTTCACATTTAAACATGTCCAGAAGAACTGATAAAAAGACTGAAATATGAATTGCAAAATTAAAGCAAGATCAAATTTTTGAACATATTTGTTCAGATCTAAACTACAGGGTTAGCGTTTTTTATGTAGAGTAAAACCAGATATTTTGTTGTATGTGGGGGAAATATGGTACTTGCTACTCATTCTGTTAGGACCCCTCTAAAGGCTGGGGACCCTGGGGGCTGGACACATCAGCTCACAGGGGTGTGTCTGTTGGATGGAGCTCTACTGGAAACACTTTGTTGTGGTTGAGTTAGCATCAAGCTCAAAGACACTGGACCGACAAGTGTTGCTATATCTTAACTATAATTTAGAGGATGATTTGACTATCTTTATTCGTACTGAAAATGTAACTTATTGTCATTTTTAGGACAACAGGGAATATCTGTTATTATAATATATAGTGCACAATCCGGGATGTAAGAATTTTATAGTTCTACAGGATTATTTGAAAGACAATATTGTTTTATTTTTTGTTATTTATTGTTGGTAAAACACAATATATTCTTACAAATTACCTCTGTGGCCAGGGTGAAGAAGTTGGTGAAGTAAATTTGCACATGAATTGAAACAGCAGGTGGCAGATACAAATTTGAGACTGTGATTTAAATAATGTTATTCTGTTGATTCTCGTCTAATAAAATGTTTTATTTTTTTCTTTGTGTTGTTTCAGGACAGAGCCTGGGCTACGGCTTTGTCAATTACATTGACCCAAAGGATGCAGAGAAAGCCATCAACACGTTAAATGGACTCAGACTTCAAACCAAAACGATCAAGGTATCTCATCTCCCACAGCATAACAGATTAACCACATGCACTGTCAATCACCAGACAGACAATAAAACATGAATACTTTGGATAAATAAACAATTGGAGGTCATAACAAGCTTCAAATGTATTTTCTCAGTCTATCTAATCGAAAACTGTTGAAAACCTGCTGCGGGGTGGTTAGGATTAGCATACATGATGCTCAGAAATGCAGACCATGTAATTCAAAGAGACATTATAAGGCCTTTGAATGTAGCCGTTATGCTAATTGCAAATGTCAAATTGGAAAAGGTAAAATTGTATAAATACATGTGAGTGAAAAGGAAGAGACTTGTCCATCACTGCACATTTTCCACAACAGTCAGTTCTCTTATTACTTTTAAATAGCATGACTAATACCCAGCCTCGGTGGAGGGGAGAGATAGGGTATCTGAGTCAAACATGTCTAAATGAATGCCTTCAGGTTTCTCTTTTAAATCAGCCCATCTCTGTGCTCTGCTCACTCTCTGTAAAACTGTTATTGCCTTAAACATGACTAGTAGCCTCAGTAATCTGCTGTGTGCTGGTAATCCAGGATTCAGAGCGCTGTCATCTCATTTAATCTGATCTAATCTAATCTAATAGGATGGGATTAGCCAAGAGCTGTGAAAGGGGAATCCCTAAGGGAGCAACACACTCTGTCGGACGTCTGCATAATCCAATGCTACATATTTTTTTTGAATTACTGACCTCGTACAATCCAAAAGAAATGGTTATCTTGAGTGTTTAGCTAGATGTTAGCATTATGAGGTATATAATATACAGCAGAAGACCTTTAAGACTTTTTTTTACATAATCTAACAATGAGAAATGGCTATATTTGAACTAAATGCAGCTTTCAAGAAAAATGTTTACCATGTGACATTTGCTGTGTCTATGATTCTTAAGAATTATCCCTTTTGTCATTAGAAATTATAAATATGCACCAAACAGATCTCAGTGTTAGGCCACGTGGGCTATTGAACCTCCCTAAATTCAAAAGCATATATTCCTACAAATCCTATTAAAGTTAACTACAAAAAAGTTGCAAAAATTACCTTGAATAAGGTACACCACTGTTAACACATAACTCAGTAAACAGGTATCATGTATAATCATAGATTCAATAGGCTCGATTCATGCTTACAAGTAGACATTTGGAAACATGTGAATGACAACTTCCAGTGTAGTAGTTACCGACACTGGGTATGTGATAAAACCACGGATTCTGCAGCAGCGGTCTTCACAACCTGCCTAAGCTTTTCATGGGGGACATCTTCGCGTCTTCGATGTCACAGCTGGTTGTAACTGTTGATCTGCTGAACATAAAGGAACACGACAATTACATTGTCTCAGCCATTTTCTCAGTTTACCCAGATTGTGTCAGAGTTACTAGGAAAAAGTAAACAAAGTAAAACAAAGGAAGTCATCCACATGTTTCCAAACATCTGCCAGTTTTCTGACTTAAGCGTGACTAGAGCCTATTGATACTAAATACTGTGGCAAGGTACTGTTCTGTAATGATGACACAAGACTCCACACCTCTCAGTTTAACACCTCACTTCCGCCTTACCACCACCTCCTCTCTCCTCTCCTTTTGACAACAACCTCCATCATCCCAAGGGGTAACAAGGTCAATTAAAAGCAGTCATTCTAAAATTAAACTTTAGGTCACACTCTGCACGCTGCACACACTCTTGGGAATATTTTCTGTGTGTAATGTCTGTAGAAGTGCTGCAGGTTTACCACTATGACACCTCAGATTTTATCGGGTTAGACGCTAATACTTTTTCATATTGAGGTGTGAGGAGAGGGGGAGGGTGCCAGGAGCTCACTGACACAGATGCACATAATCAGAGATGCATTTATACAGCGCCTGCTCACTAACACTTTCATCTTCACACTTACAGTTGGAGAACTTTTCCCCAACGCACACACAATAGCACTGGAAGCTGAGGAGGTGTTGATGGATTAGGCATCTGGACTTGGCTGACAAGGAGAGAAAAGGAGGAGAGGAGAGACAGAAGTGTGGGGGGTGGAAGTCAGGCAACCAAACGAGGAAAAATGGAAAAACAGCAGGATTTGGGAAAACCTCAAACACTGATGCTTATAGGGACATATTTCTGTTTAGATACTCATTTGAAGAAGATACATATATTATGCTTTTTCTAGTAAAACTATGTCACTGTTTTACATGTATTTATTGAAAAATGCAATATTGATCTAAAATGGCTTAGTAATAGAAATGGGACCATTGACCACTGAGCACTCTAATCTTAAATGCAGGATAGTACAGGATAATGCCAACATGTTTAAATCAATTCAAATACAACTTTGAGTAAACTAGGGAACACTACTGTAATATGGTTAAAAGGTCATAATAGTAGAATATACAGAATATGTCTCCTTTAGTAATGGTGTCTAAAAATGACAGGTCAATTTCCAATGTATTTGTTCTAGGATAATTCTTGCTCTTCATAGTTCTTACCTGCTGCCTTTATTTGTTCAGGCAATGGACTGGCCTAAGTCTTAGAACATAATCTTGTGCAGTCAAAAAATATGCAAAAATTAAACACCCTTGCTCAGAGCTTCTTGGAATGTTGATTGATTTAAGTTTTTATTTTGAATATATATATATATATATATATATATATATATATATATATATAAACAAGTGGGAGCATAGTAAACCTGTCCTCTCTAGTGTTGGTGCATCTATACAGGTGTTTCAGGTATGGTGTAGCAGCCATTTCCTGTGTGATTACTGCTACACAACAAGGCTAGAATTTACTTCATTTGTGTGGTGTTGATTGCATGTATGTTACTGTCAGGAGCTTTGCAATAAAACCATAACAAATGACTTACCTCTAATGGCATGAAATGGAACACAAAGAAAGAAAGTATTCAATAAAACCATGGTAAAAAAGAAAGAAATAACACAGCTTAATAGCTTACATAATATAGTGAAATTACTAATCTTGTCATGACTAATGCAGGCTTCCTCCAATAGAAGCTGTGTGTCCCTTTTTAATGCAGATCAAGAAAAGTTTCTAAAAGTTACAAACGTGAGTTACACGTTTTGACATGGTTCTGGTGTCTTTCATCCCAGTCTCCCTTTAAGTCACACACCTGTGGTTCCCAGTCTTCTCTGAGTCTCGCACAAATGACTCTAGAGCTACAGATCTGTGCTATTTTGAGATGAGGATAATTAAGGACACATTAGAAACATGCACATGATGTAAGGCATGTTAATGAGGAGTTAACTATAAGGCTTTGTTTCTTTGTAAATTCCTGTATCTGTGTGTGTGTTGTAGGTGTCTTACGCACGGCCCAGCTCAGCCTCTATCCGTGATGCTAACCTGTATGTGAGCGGCCTGCCCAAGACCATGACCCAGAAGGAGCTGGAGCAGCTCTTCTCTCAGTACGGACGCATCATCACATCCCGCATCCTGGTGGACCAGGTCACAGGTATCCATGGGGCAGGGTCTCCTCTCTCTCTCTGCACATGCACACACACACAACACTCACATACACGCACACACACGCTTACGCTTACATAGTAGACTGTATACTTATAACACAAACAGTCGGTCAGTCTGCAGTGTGCCGAAGCACAAATGTGTGTTTAACGATGAGTTGTACAAGAAATTCCACGCTTTCCGTTGCGTTCGGGACAAGTGTGAGTCCATGTGCACAGTGGGAAAAAGTTTTACCAGGTGAGAGTCGTGCAATGTCGATGACGAGTCCCCACCTCCCTCCCCCCGTACGCTGTCCTGGTTTTGACAAACGCAAATCTGGTCACACTAACCTGTATTCCACTGAGTCGTGTCTTTTAATCCAACAGAAGTTGACCGCATCAGCGACACAAGAGCTGTAGTTTTATCTTCGCTTTGTTTATGCAAATTAGCGATGCGGTTTTAAGTTTCGTTTCTGTGAGTTGCGCAAAACTGAATTAAACACATTATAACGTCAAACGGATTGATGTGGCTCTAGAGTCGTTACGGTTTATATGTGGTAAAGTTGAATTTATTTATGCAGATTAGTAGTGCAGATAGTAATAATAATGATGATCATTTTAATATAAAAACGTTAATGATTAATCGATAATCGACGATTGATTAAGAAAATTTCATCAAATGCCCATCCCTAGTTCAAAGTTCAGTTCACACATTTCAAAATGAACTGGTTTGTTCATAGTTCATAATTGTTTATAGTTAATAGTTTGTCCATAGTAAAAAACATTTTTCCTGTGAAATTTTACGTTGCTGTGAGCTATTATTTTTCAATATCATTGCCAAAGCTAATATAGAACCACAGACAGCAATTATTTTATGAGTTTTAACAATGAAACTATTTGTTAGATTTGAATCCTTATCCAACCAGGATGCATTAGCATTTAGGGAACAGCATTTTCCCATTGTTGCTGTCCATACAGTCCACACTAGTAGCAGCTGCAGCTTTCACCCCACAGTACAGACAGATTATTTGTTTATCAACCATAGACTGTATATATGTTATCAACACAGCAGATGCACAGTGCGAGTGCAGAAAACTCCACTGTCTGTGTGGTTAACATGAAGTTGTAGAGTTGTAGAGTTAGCTAGCACTGTTGTCAGTGCACTAAAACAGTTTTATCACCATATCACCATCTGCTGAAATCCTATAAGACACTGACATGATACCAGACAGGACAGCGGCTCTTTCTGATGGAGACATGCGCAGCAGAGTGCCAAATGGATAATCCCTCTATATTCTTTTTAGTTTTGACACAACGACGCATGCGGCGATGCGACGCTGGTGGCTAGTGTTGTTGCCAGATTTAATGTTTTTGCGCTATATATTAAGGGCTCTTTTCAGTGTGTTTCGCCAGGTTTTCACCTGGAACACTTAAGAAATCTGGCACCCTACAGAACGAAGTAGATAGCGCATGCCATTCACAGACACTAGAATGAACGCTTTCACAGTTCATTCATCAGGTAGTAATACAATGCGTTCAGTTCATGTTTGCCCAAAATATGAACACGTTCATGAACTATCAGGTACAACACTGATGTATACTCTATTTGTGATGTTTTTCTGCAGGTCAGGGCCTACTTTCTCCCCCTGTTTGCTGGAATGCTTTTCTTTCTACTTCTGGAAACACAGAATCTCAGACTATAATAGTCGCCACTCCTGTAACAGTTCTGGCTCACACAGCACAGTATTACTAATTGACAACACATACTAAACTCAAGACTGAATAAAACACCAATTAGACGTTCTATTGTTTAAATGAGGTATTGTTAAATGAGCTAATTGTTTCTTTTGATGTACTCAAATTACACAAAATACTTTCAGTTAAATTATGGCTCCGTGTTTACTTGTGTCTCCACATATAATCTATATGTGTTTGCACATTGAGGTCTCCCAGTGTTTATTGACTTGAGTGACCACTGTAGTCTTGAGCACAAGCTGTGGTGCTGTACTAAAACAATTATTACACGAGAGCCACAAGCTGTGTAATGTACATGCTCAATTACACCTTCCACTCCATCCAAAACACAGGCCTGAGTCACATCAGTCCATTGTTCTGCTCAAGGAGCCCACAGCGCGCCTCTTAGATCCATTTCAGGCTGCTGTCTGAGCCTCTAGGCTGCAACCTGCTCCAATGTTGTGTGCAATGTGTTCTGATGAGGCAGAAACACACATGCCCGCTGTAAAGCACGCTCATTTGCCTAAGCAGAGTAAATGACTGCTGGCAGTGAGGTGCATGGTATCTGTGTAAGAGCCAAGGAGAAGAGGAGACAAAGGCGCTGAATCGAGGTGGCAGGAGCCGAGAAAACAAAGAGAAAGCCCTAACCGAAGCGTCGATAAGCTCAGACGTGGGAAGACAGTCAAATGAGAAGAGGGAGGAGGCACAGAAGGCCAGGGAACAGGGCAAGACTGGAACATATAGGATTTTGCCCTCATCAGCACTCATATACAGTGTGCTTGCATGTCTCCAGCCTGTTTGCACTAGCAGATGTGTCATATACCACCATTCGATGGCCACCCAGGAGACTCCTGACCAAGCAACATGGCAACCCAACTCTCAGCAAAGCCATCCAAAACACACTGTTCTGAGCACAAACACACGCTCGTCTCACACTCTGTGCTCTGGCCACATGCAATGAATAAAACATAACAACACATGCTGCAGCGGTCGCAGCAGCCACAGCCCTCATGCATTCGACTCGGCTCCACTCACAATGGATCATTCAAAGTGCACGGCAGGTCTCACAAGTGTGGCCACAGCAACTCTCACTGTGGGCAATGTTATTATTCAAACCCAGGTGTGTTATAGGGATTTGCATTTTCAGGGTTTGAAGTAGTGATGAGCGATTCAAAAAAATTAATATAGCAATTTTTTTAAAACCAGATAGTAATTTTGATGTTATGTATGTCATGTAGACTTCCTCCTAGCTTTATTTTGCCTTCAAGAGATAAATAAAGTAATCTTCTTTTACTGAATGTTCACACTTCATTGTGATTGGTTAAATCCATCTGTCATTCACTCAGAGCATGATAGGATAGAAGTTGACCAGTAGGAGGAGTGAGGGAGGAACAGCGCTTGTGTTTGAGCATAGAATTTTTTTTTTTATTAGTGAATTAGGATATGACAATTTCACCAACATAACATATAGTCACAGGGATACTGACCTACCCCAAGGTGTTTATTTCCTAATTTAAGTTATAATAGCAACCTCCATAATGAAGTTGTTTCATAAGAGGTGGTCTTCAGGTGGTCTTCAGTCTATGCCAACACAATAGTATGTATACTCACCATGAGGATAATGTGGGAGAGGAGGAGAGGTTGAGCGGGTGTCCCCAGACCCCTGAGGTTAAGGATCAGCAGGAGAAATGTTAATGATTAATTAGATGTTGGAATATGTGGTGATTAAAAACATGGCTGACTCTGAGAGCAGTGCGCGAGCCTCATATTTCTAACTGTACCATAGCGCACACAACACACACTCCCACACTCTCACCGCTATTAGGAGAGAAATGGGCTGCAAATTAAAACTCTCCTGTGATTGCAAAAGTGTAAGTACAGAACAAGGGAAGAGAGCAGAGGCCCACGGAGAGACAGAGATAGATTTGTGCTGTGTGCTCCACAAAGCCCTGGTTCAATAAGTAATGCAGAGCCCAGGGAATCGGCCGCACTGTCCAGCCCCTCGCCAGGCTGCAGTCACTGTCTGGAAATAGCTGCTTGGAGAAAGAAAATGTACCAAACATCTCATATTTGATTTACATTTATGGTTTTTAGTCTTATTTTGATTATGTTTTACTGCCTTTTAAGTGTTTATACTCGCAAAAAATATGTTACTATGTTTACTAAATTGAAAAGCATTGCAATAGCCAAGACCACCACCAGGATTAGTGCCTCATCTTTTAATTATTGGCAGTAAATATCTACATTATGACACCTGTTACTGTTTGTACAATACACTATATCAAGCAGCATTAGGCTTATTTTTCATCAAAGTTGTTTTGTTAGATATAGTATACGTAGATGGAATTATCAGTGGTGAGCATTTATCATACGTTGTAAGCAGTGGTGAACTAAACAAATAACTCATTTGTATGGGGCTTGCTGGTCATATATGTATTATTGTAGTGCCTGGTTAATGTTCAGTCTATTAAAGACTCTATATTATGCTATTTTCTGATCTATGTTATACTGTTGTTTCCTCATCACAAACATACCTGGAGTTATATTTGCTCATGTTTAACACATAAACCTTGCTTATTTAAACAGAAAACACTCCACCTTGTGATGTGGTAAACTCTGTACACCTTCACTAGAATAATTTGACGATTTTGATTGTTTCAGCCCTGGAATTTCTAGTAACTACTGAACAAAAGCTAAAAGGTAGCTGTTAACTTGAAAAATACCATTAAATCACATCACATAGTGGAGCAGAGTATTTTGACCTTTGGAGATGTAGACAGTCTAATAATAAAAGCTTAATAAAACGTGTGAATGAAACACAACTTCAAGTATGATTTTGATGAGCAACAACATTATAACATGACTTAAAACTCACAAGAGTCAATTAAGCCTAATATAGAGCCTTTAAACACAGTAGTTCCATTTTGCTGGAGTCAGTGCCTGGAAATTGCAAAAGTAGAAAATGTTCAAATGTTCGTGTTTATTAGTAGCTTCTTAGAGTGGTGTTCATAAATAATGGAATTCAAGCTGCCGGTGTGACATTGTAGAAATCTGTCGACATCAGTGATTCATTAGCGCTGCTGTGTATTTATTCATTCATTGACGTACACAACTCTGATTCAGATGCAATACAAAGCAGGGGGAGATCGGAAAAGATCCCACACACAATGTAGAAAGACAAGAGTATCCACATGAAGTTGCTGATGTAATTGATGTTGTTGGCTGACCAATGGCAGATGGGAAAGCTCGTCTCCAGATCCCACTAGGCTAAATTGGG